AGCCGGGCGCTCGCCGGGGGTCGGCCGGCCGGCCCGCCTCCTCGTGCGTTCCCGGAGCGCGCCAGCGCGGCGGGGCTCGTGGACTTTGGGGGAAGTGGAGGAAAGTGTGGGTTCGGGGAGTGGGCTGCGAAGAGGGAGAGTTGCCCGTGGGACCGGGCAGCCGGAGGGCCCAAGGCTGCCCTGCCGCCTGCTTGGGAGTCGGGGCCTCCGGGGGCTGCCGGTCAGGTGGGGCCCAGCCAGGCGGTCCCGGACCTAGAGGCAGGGTCTGTTCCCGCCCCGGGTGAGGTGGTGTGCAGCCCTGCAGAGGATTTTCATAGAAGTGAGGAACTGGGGGTCCAGTGTGAAGGATCTCCGCCACCCCCAACCTCCCCACACACCTGGGCCTCCGCTCCCTCCTTAGCAGGACCCTTAGACTGTGCCTAGGTGATGCCACTAAATGTACCAGGTGACACGTCAAAAGCGTGCTTCCTTTGATCTGACAACCCTAACCACTAGTGTGCCCACTTTTTAATTCTTGCATCGTTATCTTTCTGGGGCACCCATTCGTTGGTTACAATTCAAATTGCGGTATATATGTGTGTGTGATTATATCTATATATATTCTACTTCCATATACATTTTAAATAAAGAGTTATCTATATTTTAATGTTGGGCGTCAGCATTCTTACCATTTCTTTGATAAATGATAACATCCTTAGTTTGGATTTAACCTCTTAAATCTGGGGACAAGTAATACGCCTTTTGGGATTTATTGTGTTAAAAGAAAATTAGAATGTTAAAAGACAATTAGTTGTATTAGCAGGTTATTGTGGTCTAGGATTCTTTAGCTCACAAGTGTAAGTCCGAAAACGTACTGCATTGCGAAATGCTGTAAACTGTATTAAAGGAACATATTAATCCGTCTAGAAAAGTTAGATAAAAGTTCTACGGGCGTGTGTCATGTATCTCACAATTTTTCCAGGCACCCTGTTCCTGTCTGTAGGATGTTGATGTAGGTATATATTCTAATGTTCAGCCAAGTGGTGTCAGCCAGGGAACCCAGAAGACACTTTAAAGTAAAATAAACGTTTCAAATCCACTAGTAAAATGAAGGGCAGCATCCTTAAAGAACTATTAATAATTTGGGTGTTGTTTTTTTTCTGTCTAAGGTCTAGAGTTGAAAGTTCCATTCATTTGGTAGAATGGTGAAAATGATTAGTCATTTTAGACACTCTCATTTATTGTTGTGGTTAGAGATTCAAATATGTTAAAGGATGGTCTCAGAGGGCATATAGCAAGACGTTAGATTAAAAATTTTTCAAATGGAGATGTGATGCTGTTAAGAATTTGGGTCACTGTTGGTTTTTAGGCAGTCAGTTCAGAAAAGCTCCTGATGATGTCTTAGAAGCCAGCCTGTGAACTGCTTCTTGTGATTTAAGAGGATATAGATCATTAGTTTTGCTCTTGTCTGGCGACTGGCCTTCTATTGTATGGTTAAATTTCATTAACTAGAAATGTATGACTCCATTCCTACTGAGTAAAATGCTCTAATGGCTTTCTTGCAAAATTTGAAGTCTTACTTGCCAATAGAATTCATTGGAAATATCTTTTCCTTCAAACCTGCGCTTAATAGCTTCCTGTTTCCAGTATTTTGTATACCTTATGTGTTTCATGTAGTATGAAATGTGCATTGATGTATAGTCTGCTTTTATATTTAGAGTTCTTTTGCTTTTATTTATCTCTACCCATTTATATGGCACTTTATCACAGAGGCTTTATTTGTAATTAGTGAGGCTGTTTAAAAATACCCTTTATTCTTTGATTCTGTGCAATCTGCTTCCTCGTTATTGTGCATTAAATGTTTACTCTAGTAGCCTGCACACCCGATGCTGCTGGATATAAAGTCAGCCTAAGTGTATAGCAACCAAAAAGTTATAAGCATGTTTATATATCAAGCCACAATTAAAACTTCCAAATTATATAATTCAGGGCTATCAGTTCTATTCTTTAATAAGAGTTCATTAGCAGGTACTTATCGATCCAACTGTATTACAAATATTCCTATGTATAGCAGGCATTTGGTGGAGTTCAGTTAAACTTGTAGGATTTTCCCACAAAGGTTTTAAATTCCAAACTGGAGACATGGGCAGCTAGCTGTTTTTGATATCAGTTTGTCATTGTTGCTAACTGTACAAGGTGAATAAATTTGGCGTCAGCCAACAATGGTAAGTTATAGGTGAGACTGTTTTTGAGTTCCCAGTATTCAGGTAGAAAGAGGAAGCAGCATTCAGTTCTTCTGGAATGTTTTATCTGCAGTTTGAGAGCTGCTGGTGAAGGAAAGGTTAACAGGCAGGCCTGTGGCCTAGAAAGGCCTTATCCGAAAGCTATGGGAAGTGAGGAATTTCTCTGAAGTCATTGTTTAAACTCAGAAAATCTTGGAAATGTTCTAACCTATAATAGATACGTGTTCA